TTTTATATTCTTTTTGCGTATTTTATATTCTTTTATTTTACTTATTTTGAAATAATTTCAACCTTACAGAAAATTTGCAAGAACAGCACAAAGGATTTTAGTATACCCCTGCCCAGATCTCCCAGTTGTTAAACTTTTTATTTTATTATATTTGCTTTATCCTTCTTTCTATGAGTGCTGTATATATTGTTTTTGATTCATTGGAGAATATGTAAGTGTCATGTCCTGTTATCCTTAAATACTTCAGGATGTATTTACTAAAACAAAGGACACCCATTTATCACCACAGTGTAGCTGTAGAAGAGGGAAATCAACACTGACCCTGTACTGTCAGGGTCTCAGTACAGTCTTTCCTGGTGCCCCAGTGATGTCCTTTATGATCACCCTCTCCTCTGTTTTCCGGGATCTAATCCAGCATCACATGTCACATCTATTTGCTTCCTATCAGAAGCAGTGTCTTGGTTTTTCCTTTTCTTTCAGGCCTCTCTTGTTTTTGGAGTATAGGCCGATGTGGGGAAGAATCCCTAATTTGGGTTTGTCTTATGTTTCCTCATGATTAAATTTAGGTTGTACATTTTGACAAGAACACCACAGAGGTGATTCTATGTCCTAAGCGTATCATATTGGGGGCTGAATGATGTCCACTTGTTCTGTAACTGATGATGCTTATTTTTTATTCTTTTTAATACATGACAGTAGAGTATATATTGACATATTATACATCCAGGGGGTACAACTTACTCTAATTAGGGTCCCATTCTTGTGGTTGTACCTGATATGGAGTTTCACTGGTGGTTGATAATGTTTATTTATACAAACAGTACAGGAGGACACCAGCCCAGGTGGACAGTAGCCCAAGGGACACCATACACCTTTACTCTGGATCCTTACTGGGGGCCTGGGTCCTGTTGGAAGTCTGAAGAGGAGCTGCAGCTGCAACCTGGGACTGAGTCTTGGTTTGAGCTTTTGCTTTGACCTTTGCCTGGCAGATCCTGAGACTTTAGCAACGTGGGCACAAACACACTTCCCAAGCTTGGGTAGGAGAGTTGATGGTGCTTGCAGCTGGCACCCTTGTCCCCATTGGGCTAAGGGCCCCATAGCCTCGGCACATGCTCTCATAGCCTTGGTCTTGCTTGCCTGCCTCTGCTTTCGGCCCTTCTTGTATTTCTTGGCTAAATGCATGTTCCTCAGGAACTTGGGCTCTACCCTCTTCAGAAACTCTTAACTTTGTAATTGGGTTTTTGACACCATTTCTGTACCATTTTCAGGACTGGTTGTATTTGGTTGGTTTTTGGACTTGGCCACCATAACCCACAGCTCCTGAAGTACCTGGGAGGGTATCCCATATGCTTTAGCAGCCACTCCCTATCCTCCAGCCCTGACAACCATTAACCAATTTTTTGTTTCTGTGGATTTGCCTATTCTGGATATTTTGTGAAAATGGAATCATGTAATGTGTGAACTCTCAAGTCTGGCTTCTTTCTCTTGGCAAAGTTCATCCATATTTTAGTACATATCAGTACTTCGCTTTTTTTGCCAAATAATATTTCATTTGTTATGGTTAATTTTATGAGTAAACAGAGATGCTATTTTACACCTACTATAATGAGAAGCATTTAAAAACTTGACATCAAGAGTTGGTGAGGAGGGGCTGGGGTTGTGGCTCAGCGGTAAGCATTCGCCTAGTACTTGCGAGGCCCTGGGTTCGATCCTCAGCACCACATAAAAAAAAAATCAATAAATAAAATAAAGGTATAAAAAATTAAGAATCCTTTAAAAAAAGAGTTGGGGGGAGGTGGAAAAGAAGGAATTCTCATACACTGCAATTGTCAGTGTAAATTAGAATAACCACATCAGACTTGGGCCCATGCCTATAATCCCAGCTACTGGGAGATTATGGCTGGAGCATTGCAAATGTGAGGTCAGCCTTAGCAATTTAGTCAGGCTCTGTCTCAAAATAAAAAATAAAAATGGCTGGGGCTGTAGTTCAGTGGTAGAGCACTTGCCTACACACCTGGGTTTGATTCCTGGGCTTGATCCTTACCAAGTATCCATTTGGAAAAAAAAAAAATGGTAGGGTTTATTCCCTACCAACAAGCAGAGGAACAAAAAGAAAAACCACATCAGAAAACTGGCATTACCTTACAAAGTTGATGCAATACCCAAATGTTCATCAACAGAGTAATATACCCTCTGTAAAAGTAAGTCATACACACAGAGATACTTTTTATTTGTATAAATCATACCACTTGTATAAAATTCAAAATATGAAAGGTAAATATGTTATTATAAATAAATGCAATGAGCCAGGTGTGGTGGCACACACCTGTAATTCCAGTGGCTCAGAAGGCTGAGGCGGGCAGATTGCAAATTTGAGACAAGCCTCAGCAACTCAGTAAGGCCCTTACTAAGCAACTTAGTGAGACCCTGTCTCAAAATAAAAAATAAAAATGGGTAGGGATTTGGATCATTGGTTAAGCATCCCTGGGTTTAATCCCTGGTACCAAAAAAGAAAAAAAAAAATATATATATATATATACACACACACATATATATATATATATATATATATATATATATATATACACACACACACAGTGATATGATAGAGCTGGTTTGTATCCGTTTGGAAAAAAAAATGGCAAATGCTACAAATCAGACTCTTTGGACCCCTCTGCAGAGCCAGTTGTTAAAAAGGGTAAGAGACTAATGAGACACAGGGTCGATATTCCTTCAACAAGGAATGTTCTCATACTGCTTTTTTTGTGCACATAAAATTATTTCATGAAAGTAAAAAACAGGAGTTAGCTAGTTGGAGGCCAGGTTCATGGTGGCTGGTGAGAGGGTTGTGAGCAGAGGTAACAGCATAGTGAATTTCAGAGAGAGCAGTTCAGGCAGTAAAAGTGCTGTGGTCCATTCTAACTAGCATGGTACATGTAGGGTAGGTGGAGGGGGGGAGAGTAGAAAGGGACACAGAGGGCTGGTGTGCCACAGGCGGCAGTTTCACCCTGGGCAGGAGAGACAAGGCAGGCAGATGGTGAGGGAGCCATAGTGGTCTTGCTGAAAGATGCAGCCAGAACACGGCCACGGCTGTGAGAAGTAAGGGCAGAGCAGGGGCCTGAGAGATGCCCAGGAAGCAGGATGGACTGGGCTTGGCGATTGACAGGAAGGGGGTGGTGTCAAACAGGGCTCTGCTGCCATTAATGAGATGAAGCTTGACACATCCTTGAAGGGTGGTGACTTCCTTCCAATGAGTGCAAAGTGAAACCGGGGAAGACTAACTACAGCGAGAGAACCAACAGACACTGTGCCAGCAGGTGAGGGAGGTTCACGCCATCTGTGATGTCTTGTTGACGGTACATACCTTTGATATGCCGGGCTAAAATGGCACTTCACTCTGTCATGTCCCCGTAAGCCAAGTCTACACATGAGAAAAGCATCAAAGAAATCCCAGTTGAAGATCATATATCTGACCTGTTGAGGTCATCAAAAACATGAAGAATCTAAGAAACTATCACATGAAGGGGAGGCATGACAACTGATGCGGTCTGGAAGTGGATTATCCCCCTGTTATCAGGTTTGTTCCCAGTGTGGTGCCATTAGGGATGTGGAGTCTAGTGGGAGTTGACTGGATCATTGGGGGTACTGCTTTTGGAAGGGATTCTTGTGGGACCCTGGTTGATTGCTGTGTGAGTGAGTTGTTATAAAATGGTTAGTCCTTCCTACTCTCTGACTTCTTGTCTCATTGTGAGGTCTCTCTCTCACACATGTGCTCCCACAATGATGCCTACCATCTGTCAAGATGGGACAATCATGGGTTCCTTGCCTGAACTGGCATCATGCTGTTTGGTTCTTTCAACCTCCAAGATTGTGAACTAAATAAACTTCTTTTCTTTATAAATAATCCAGTCTCAGGTATTTTGTTACAGCAACAGAAAATGGACTAATACAGCAACTAAATGTAATATGGTGTCATGGACAGAATCTTGAAAGATATTAGGTTAAGAACTAGGAAACCGGTCTGGGGTTGTGGCTCAGTGGTGGAGTGCTTGCCTAGCATGCGTGAGGCCCTGAGTTCGATCCCTGGCACCACATAAAAATAAAACAAATAAAATCAAGGTATTAAAAAAATAACTAGGAAACCTGGATAAAATATGAACTTTAGTTAATAATAATATCTCAATATTGTTCATGGGGCTGGGGATGTAGCTCAAGTGGTAGCGTGCTCGCCTAGCATGCGTGAGGTACTGGATTCAGTTCTCAGCACCACATAAATGTGAAATAAAGATACTGTGTCCACCTAAAAATTAAAGAAGTAAATATTTTTAAAAAATAATATATCAATATTGTTCATTATTTGTGACAAATGAACCACACTAATGTAAGATGTTATTAAAGGGGGCTGGGAGAGTAGCTCAATGGTAGAGCACTTGCTTAGCACATGTGAGGCCTTGGGTTCAATCCTCAGCACCACATAGAAATAAATAAATAAATAAAGGGATTGTGTCCATCTACAACTAAAAAACATTTAACAAAATAAAGATGTTAATAAAGGAAACAATGTGAGATATGGGAACTCTCTCATCTATCTTTACAACTTTTCTGGAAATATAAAACTATTTTAAAGTAAAAAGTACATTTTTAAAAAAATCTGCCAAATGCATTTGTTCTGAAAACTTTTAGAGTGGTAGAAGTCTTGCCTTGTGTGGGCAAGGCTCTGGGTTCCATGTCCAAAAATACCCCCCCCCCAAAAAAAAAAAAAAAAAACCACTAAATAAACAAAAAAAGTAACTGCTGCTCTTTTTAAAAATAAAAATACAGTGGAGCAAAATGGGACTCTGTAACGCTCCAGTTTCTGAGTTGAATGACCAGGGTCACAGTAGCAGCCCCAGTTCTCCCAGTCCTTTCATTCCTCTTTGAGAGCCAAGCCAATTTAGTGGTTTGTTTAGGAAGGAAGGACTACAACTCCCAGAGTGCCCCTGGGCAGTTGTCAGGAGCAACCAAGGAATGCAACTAACAGCCCTGCTGGAGTTTAAGGAGTACTAGGATTCACTGCCTGCCAGCCATGGGCCAGGATTATTACTCTGTGCTCCAGATCACTCACAATGCAGAGGATGCCCAGATCAAGAAGGCGTAAGTTGAAGTGGGAACCAGGCCTGAGGGCTGTGCAGGCTGCCCCACCCTCACTCCTTCCCAGCCCAGCTTTCCTGCATAGCTTAGCAGGCAAGATGAGCCTGATTCTTCTCTTGCATATCTTTATCCTGGTTTGGAGCTGGTCCAGGGAAGGGGATGGAAATCTCCCTTTATGCTCTGTGCCACATTGTCCTCTCCTGGGTGCTTTAGCTTTCCTAGCAATGAAGTGGGGACAAAGGAACTATTTGAACTTTATCCTGAATATTATGGAGAACCAAAGGATTGTAAACAGGGGAATGAACTGGCAGATGATGTGGATATGTTACAGATTTCATTCTGGTCATCATTTGTTTATTAATTTATTTAGTGGTACTAGGGATTGAACCACAGGCCTCCTGCTTGCTTCGTATGAATTTTTTGTCATTGACTAAACTCCATCTCTAAGTCGCAGAGAATTTTGGGTCCTTTCTTAAGAAAATTGAGGCTGGCTGGGTGTGGTGGTGCACACAGCAACTCAGGAGGCTGAGGCAGGAGGATCACAAGTTTGAGGCCAGCCTCAGAAATGGGAGGAATAGAAGTTCATTGGCTCAGACAGAGGGAAATGAAGGGAATGAAAGGGAGATGGAAATAGGAAAGACAGTAGAATGAAACAGACATAACTTTCCTATTTCATATATGAATATACCACCAGTGTAACTCCACATCATGTTCAACCACAAGAATGGGACCCTAATTAGAGTAAGTTATACTCCATGTGTGTATAATATGTCAAAGTACACTCTATTGTCATGTATATCTAAAAAGAACAACAACAACAACAAAATGTAGTGAGATCCTGTCTCAAAAAAAAAAAATGCTGTGGATGTATCTCAGTGATAGAGTGCTCCTGGGTTCAATCCTCATTACTTTCCCAAAGGGGGGGGGAATGTTAGGTTAGGAGTAAGCACATTTTTCTGAAAAAAAAATGTGTATACACCCATACACACACTCTGAAGTACTGGCAATTGAACCCAGGAGCATTCTACATCTAAGCTAGATCCCCAACCCTTTTTATTTTGAGACAGGATCACTCAGTTGCCAAGGCTGTTCTTGAACGTGTGATCCTCCTGCCTCAGCCTCCTGAATAACTGGCATTACAGGCATGTACCACCACACCCAGCTGGAAAATTTTTTTTGTTGTTGGATCTTTAAAATTTTTTTTTCTTGTTTTCTTTGAACAAAAATTTAACAAGTATTTGCTGAGCACTGACCAGATAGGTTAGGTGCAGTGGTAGCAGTGTGGAGATCTAACTGTAACCAGACAGACATGTCCCATTCCCTCAAGCAGCCTGACTTTGCTGGTGAATACAGATATTGATTACAGCACGACTATGATGACTGTTAGAAAAGGGAAAGAGCACGGTGCAGAGGAGCCTCTACTGGAAGGAGAGAGACCTTAGGAGGCTGTCATGGTCATGTACACAGAAGTCAAGGCTTGAAGAAGGACAAAACCTCTTCAGTGGGCTTCAGGGAAAGGAGGGATTGAAACTGGCAGTTCACTGGGTCACTGAAAGGCAAAGAGGAGGAACAGTCGAGGACACTTATTTTATTGAATGTGTAGGTGCAATCGGGAGAACCGTCATCGATATTTCATTGACTCCTCACAATGACCCTGAGAGGCAAGTGCCATTATTATCCCAAGGCAGAGCTAGCAGTCAGAAACCATCCCTTCTAGAGGTGCCATCTGTGGGCTCATCTCCGGGCCAGGTCCTGTAGGGGACCCAAGGAGGGTGAGTGGAGTCCATAGCATGGTTGGAGAACAAGACAAACTCATGAGACAATTTGAGAACAATTCAGTCAGCACTGGCTAGGTCATGTCATTGTCCAAAGGGACCCATTCAGGAGAAGATTACCAAGAGGCAGAGCAGTTGGAGGGCAGAAGGATAAGCAAGCCTAGTTTGAATCCAGGTTCTCCTGCCTGCTGCTGTGGGACATGGGCAAATCATTTAACCTCTCTGAATCTGATTCTCATTTCTGAAAAAAAAGGGAGGGGATTGTTGTGGCACTGAAATAGGATTAGATGAGGGCTGGGGTTGTGGCTCAGCAGTAGAGCACTTGCCTAGCATGTGAGAGGCCTAGGTTCAATCCTCAGCACCACATAAAAAATAAATAAGTGAAATAAAGGTATTTTGTCCAACTAGAACTAAAAAATAAATATTTAAAAAAAAAAGAATGTGTAAGCTAGGCACAGTGGTACAAACCTGTAATTCCAGTGATTTGGGAGGCTGAGGCAGGAGGATCCCAAGTTTGAGGCCAGCCTCAGTAATTTATTGAGCCCCTTTTTCAAAATAAAAATAAAAAGGCCTGGGGACATAGCTCAGTGATGATAGAGTGCCCTTGGGTTCAATTCCCAGTAGTCCCCACACACACACACACACGTACACACACAGTGATTAAAAGAACTGCCTATATTTCTTTTATTTTATTTTATTTTTTAAAAATATTTTTAGTTATAGGTGGACCCAAAACCTTTATTTTATTTATTTATTTTTATATGGTGGTGAGGATCGAACGCAGTATCTCACATGTGCAAGGCAAGTGCTCTAACCACTGAGCCCCAGCCCCAGCCCAATATATTTCTTTTTTTAATTTATTTTTTAGTTGTAGTTGGACACAATATCTTTAATTTATTTATTTTTATGTGGTGTTGAAGACCAAAGCCAGGGCCCCACCCATGCTAGGCGAGGGCTCTACCTCTGAGCCACAACTCAGCCCCTATATTTCAAACAGCCCTTAACTCTTCTCCCCTACAACAATTTTTAAGACATGACACTCTCCCATGGTAGTACCTTGATTTCGATCAAAAACAAACAAACAAACAAAAAACAAATCCCACTAAAGTTATATAATGAAGAAAAGCAAGGCTGGAGTAAGGCCCTGGGTTTGATCCTCAGCCCTGCAAAGAAAAAAAAAAAAAGAATCTGGGCTGGGGATTTGGCTCAGGCGGTGGAGCTGGCCTGGCATGCGCGTGGCGCTGAGTTCGACCCTCAGCACCACATAAAATAAAGATGTTGTGTCCGCCGAAAACGTTAAAAATATATATATTAAAAAAACTCTCTCTCTCTCTCTCTCAAAAAAAAAAGGAATCTGGTCATCTCTAACTAGGGGCAGTGTAATCCCAGTTACTCAAGAGGCTGAGACAGGAAGATCATAAATTAGAGCCCAGACCCGGCAATTCAGCAAGATTCTGTCTCAAAATAAAATTTTAAAAAAGCAGTGTGTGGGGCGGGGAGGGGAGGGGGAGGGGAGGGGGAGGGGAGGGGGAGGGGGGAGGGGAGGGGAGGGGGGAGGGGAGGGAAGGGGGAGGGGAGGGGGGGTGGTTCTGGGATGGTGGCTCACAGGTGGTTTGTTTGTTTGTTTGTTTGTTATTGTTGTTTTTACTATAAACTCAAATTTGAGACTGTGCCATGGTTCTTATTATAAGGATGGTTACCATCCTTCAAACCCAGTATATATCAGTATGGAAAATGTGTTAAATCAAGTTAAAGAAAATGCATAATAATTTCCATAGCAGATATTGCACAACGGTTTTCTGGATAATAGGAAAACACCTTATCTTCATATGAAGTCTATCTTGAGAAGCGCTACTCATGGTCCCAGCAGGCCCCTGAACCCTGCTCCTGAGTTCCAGCTCTAGTACAGAAAAGGAGGCAGACAGGAAGGAGGGAGGGAGGGAGGGAGGGAGAGAAGGAAGCACCCAGGACACAGAATCACCCCAGCTAAGGACCCGCTCAGTGTCACTCTAGCCACGACTTCACTTTCTCGCCCTCTCAGGAAGGCAGGTGAAAGCAGGTGAACGAGAGTGACGTTACTAGAGAGAGAGAGAGAAGGGCTTGAACCTTTAAGGGAGACCTTTGGATCATATGCTGAAAATAAGACGACCTGGGGAGGTTTCCCGGGAGGGTGCTGTGGTCACAGTGTTTTAGGAGCCTGAGGAGGAGACAGACAGACAGAAGGAGGGCGGGGGAGCGGTCTTATAGTTGGCGGCACCCAGCTGGACTGCGTTGGGGAGGGGACTCCTGGGGAGAGACGCGGTCCTCTACAGGATGAAGGGGCAGGCAGGGGACATTTAGAAGGGAAAACTGGTAGGACTTGGTGACGGACGGGATGGGGAGGAGGGAGCAAAGGAGAAGTTGGGGTCAAAGATGATGCCCAGGTTTCTGGCTGCTGTGCCTGGAAGAAGGAGTGAGCCCTGAAAGGTGCTCCCTGGGCCAGCGGCGTGCGAGGCGCTGGGCACCGGCGGAGCGGCCAGCGGGCGGCTGCCCGGGGCAGGCGGGGCCCGGAGGGCGGCTCGGGAGGTCCGCAGCCCTGCGGGAGCGAGGGAGAAACTAAAGAGGAAGCGCAGAACCCTGGGCACGCCCACAGGAAGGCGAGGTGGCACTGCGACCCCGTCTAACTGGGACCTGAGAGTCTGGAAGGATTACTTCCTTTTGTCCTGAAGTCCCCTCGCACCCTGCCAGGCATCCTGTGGCATCCTGTTCAAGGAGAACGAGTCAGGGGAGTGGACGGAGGAGGGTGGGCTGCAGTCTTCACGGAGTCTCTTCAGGCTGCCTGGTCCCCTCACTGAAGGTCTTGGCTCCTGCCACAGGCCCTGCCCACACACTTCTTCTGTCAGTGCAAATGAAGGAGACGAAAGCAGACCTCGGAGTCTATGAGATTGTCAGGCAATGGAGGGGCTCACTTTCTGGTTAGAAAATGGCCACCGTTGCAGGGGTCTGGGTGTTTATAGGTTACACAGAGAGGTGACTTAATCATTGGAGACTTCAACAGAACGTGTCAGTTTGAGCAATCAGGAAAAAGGTTGTAAGCATTTGAAACTTGTTTTTACTGGGAAAGGATGGGGGGTCTCAGTGCTCATCTCTTTCCTCTGGAGGTCATTGTATTCAAAAGGATCAATGTTTATCCAGGGACTGTCATTTTGGGATTGACATGTGCTTCCTTCCCAGGGATTGTCTTGTCACTGGGAAAGAATTTACTGGGAAGGATCAATGTTTTGCCTTCTTCCTCCCTCCCTCCTCCTGGGTCACACTGTATTGGGGTTATCATTTTCCATATCCTTCACCTTCCAGGTTTCTAAAGCTGCTGCCTCCTGTCACTTCTATGGGTTTAGTGAAGGTCAGGGCCCCAGGGTTCCTAGCCTCTGTGTACTCTGTCCCTCATCTTTTCTCCCCTGCCTGTACCTTGGTGAATGGCCCCTATGGTAGCTCTGCAGATCATCCAGACAATGCCATCTTTTCCCTCCTGGGAGACTGACAGTGCATGACAGGCTGCAGTTATCCTTTGACTGAGAGGTACAGAATCGAGAGCAATGAGCACAGAGCGGGAGACCTTGAGGACCTGGCACGTGCGGAGTGCTTCTCTGTACAGGCCCTTCCCACACCTTATTTTATCCTTCTCCAAAGAAACCTGTGGGTCAGTTTCAGTCTTCTGAGAAGCAGAGACCAAGATGGGGTTAGATGTGCACAAAATAGGTCAGGAAACCCCAAGGAAAGAGGAGTGTGCAGGGGGAGAGCTTCACACTACAGAGCAGCCAGGAGATGGGGAAGAAGGGCTTGGGTAGGGAGAGCTGTAGCTCGAGGATCTCAGGCAGGCTTGTCCTTTGAAGGGGTGCCATGCTCACAAAAATGGGCCACAATGCTTAGGCATTGGCTGGGAGAGCTTGGGGAACAGATGCCCACAGGGCAGCTCCTGGGGCTGCCAATTGGCCACAATCCCTACATCCCTACACCAGGTTCTCTTCAAGGCGCTCTGAGCAGTGCATCTTGGTGGCTGCCACAGTCTGTGAGGTCATCCCTGATTCATAGCTAGGCAGTTGACAGTGGCACCTGCTTGGGGCCATGCTTCTCCGGAATGGGTCAGCTGTTAGGACTCACACTCACTTTCTCTCCTCTAGGTACCGGAAGCTTGCCCTTAAGAACCACCCTTTGAAATCAAGTGACCCTGAAGCTAAAGAGACCTTCAAGCAAATAGCAGAGGCCTATGATGTGCTGAGTGACCGTGAGTGACCATGAGGCTGCTCCAGGAGATTTCTGTCATCCCCTCCTTTAAGATCGTCCCTTAAGTCTCTATAGACTATTGAGTTTTCTGAGGGGGTCCTAGAGAATAAGTATCTGTCCTCCCTGCCCAGTATCTAAACAAACTGAGAATATAAAGAATCGCCTGTCTCAGTGGACACAAGCTAAGGTGAGAGATGGGTGTGCAGGGTCACCAGGGCAGGGCAGGAGCAGGGGCACATTCCCCACACCCCACACCTGGAAGATGGAGCCTTCCCCCAGGAGAGGAGTGGAAGGAAATGCTGGCTGCCAAGGGGAAGAAGGCCAAGGCTGAGCAGGGTGCCACTTCCCCTTCCCAGACTGGCTGAGGAGCGAGTCTCCATCACCTCAAGGACAGCAGGAGCATGAAGGGGCAGGGAGAGGCCAGGAGTCTTCCTTCAGAAGTCTCTGTCCTGGGGAAGCCAGAAGCGTGGGGCAAGTGTGATTCATAGCCCCAGCACAGGGCAGTGCTCTGTGGCTTCCCTGGGGGATGGTCCTGGAGACTATGCTTATGCAGGCTGCACAGGAGGGCTAGGAGGCCACCAGGGTTTCTCCAGGGCTGGGTTTTCAGGACGTTGATAGCCTCGAAAGCTAGCATCTGGAGGCTTTAGAATTCTCAGATTCAAAAATTTCAGGATTCTAGGATTGTAATGACTCCCAGAAAAACAGTAGCTGTGAGGACTGAGTTAGGCCGACCCCAGGTCTGTAGCCTGACCCAATCCCTACCCCACCCCCACCCCACCCCCGGAAATCTATTTTTTCATCTCTCTTCTGGGCTGTCGGGATCCCTAGGCGCACTCAAGAATGAAAGTCACCTCCAACTTCTAGGATCTCATATCCAGAGACTCTGGGATGAGCCGCAAGCCCCTTGGAAAAGGTTGTTTTGTCCCATCTCCTTTCCCAGGTCCTCCTTCCCTCTCTCCCCTCTAAGCTCTTAGCCCCCAAGGCTGTACCCCTCCTCAAGGTCCTCCTGCCCACAGCTGTGAAGAGAGCCATCTATGACAAGTTCGGAGAAGAAGGCCTGAAGGGCGGGATTCCCCTGGAGTTTGGATCCCAGGCCCCGTGGACAACTGGCTACGTCTTCCACGGCAACCCTGCTAAGGTGTTCCATGAGTTCTTCGGGGGAGACAACCCCTTCAGTGGTAAGAGATCCTCCCCGTCTCCTTGCCTCACTGGGAAAGGACACGGCTAAAAAAGACGCTTTTCTCTAATAGTTTTGTTTTGCTTTTTCACCTTAAGAAATACATATAGAGTATGTTTTTTTTTTTTTTTAAAGGTAAAAGAATTTATTGAAAAAGAAATAAATTCCAGACCTACATTTCCTTTCCAGAAGCGGTCTTCTGGAAGTTTTCTATGCCTTGATGAGCACATTTTTATGTTAGCCCTTTATTTTCTTAAGGAATCAGACTACATTATACACACATTTTTAAACTTAAGATATCTTGGAGATTATACAACAATACATTGTGCTACCTGTAGATCTACTTTATTTATTTATTTTTTTCCTCCCTTGTAGCACTGGGTATTGAACCCAAGGCAGTAAACACATTAGGCTAATGCTATATCCCCAGCCTTTTTTAAAAAAATTTTTTATTTTATTTTATTTTAAATACTTATTTATTTATTAGTTGTAGCTGGACCAATACCTTTATTTATTTATTTTTATGTGGTGCCCAGGATCAAGCCCAGGGCCTCTCACGTGCCAGGCAAGTGTTCTACCACTGAGCCACAACCCCAGCCCTAAAATTTTTATTTTGAGACAGGGTTTTGCTGAGTTACCCAGGCTGGCCTGAAATTTGCAATCCTCCTTCCTCAATCTCTTGAGTAGCTGGGATTATAGATGTGGACCACCATGCCTGGCTACTTTATTTCTTTTAATGACCACATAAGACTCCATTGTACAGATGTGTATTGGTCAGAAATCGGTTTCAGGCTTATGCACACTTGTAATCCCAGCAGCTCTGGTGGCTGAGGCAGGTGGATCGCGAGTTCAAAGTCAGCCTCAGCAACTTAGTGAGGTCCTAAGCAACTTAGGCAGACCCTGTATCAATATAAGAAATAAAAACAAAAGGGTTGGGGATGAGGCTCAGTGGTAAAGCACCTCTGGGTTCAATCCCTGGTGCAAAAAAAAAAAAAAAAGGAGCAAATAGAGTTTGCAGGGCCAGTGCTTACTTGTAAGGGAAAGTTGGCCTCTGGGTTTGGGGCTTCCTTAGGCAGTGTGACCAGGGACTATACTGCCACAGAGCTCCATTCCAGGGTTCTTGTGTCTGTTCTCCCTGTAGAGTTGAGGGGCTGGGTTTGCTGTGGCCTTGCTCTTGATATCTACTACCTGCTACAAAGTAGGTATTGGGTAAACAAACAAATTTAGTATTGCAAGAGGGAACTAGGTAGTTCACAGGCCTCTTTTTTTTTTTTTTAAACAAATATTTATTTATATGTGGTGCTGAGGATCAAACCCAGTGCCTCACACATGCTAGGCAAGCTCTCTACTGCTAAACTACAACCCCAACCCCTAGTCCACAGGCTTTGATGAACCATCACATCTTACAGGGACACAGTGTGAAGCCACTGTACCCACTGCCTAAGGTCACTGCATCATTTTAACTTGTGAAGTTCATTCCATGGCATTAACGACGAGAGACAGGGTGCATCACAGTGACTCCTGTCTATAGTTGATGATGGGCTTTCACATGAACAATATAGCATAGGGGTTAGAATTTTTTTCCTACAGTCAACTTGTCCTGTGGCGCGGGTCAACTTCTCCTAGTTGTGGGAGTATGAGAATTTTTTGTGGCCTTTCCAGCCCAGTGAAATAAAATTGAAGGGCTGGAGGCGTAACTAGGTGGTAGAGCACTTGCCTGGTGTGCATGGGGCCGTGGGTTTGATCCCCAGCAATGCAAAAATAATAAACAAATAAACAAGCCAAATAAAAATGAAAAATGCTGAACCCAGTGCCCGATGCAGGGTAGGCTCTCAGCAAGTTTCAGGTCTTTATCATCTTAATGGTGGAAAGCGGATCAGGCATTATTACCCCATCCCGCAGACAGAACTGAAGGTTTGCACAGCACCTCAGGGGCTGGGCTGGGCTGGGGCTCCCTCTCTGCACTCAGGTGGAAGAGCACAGGCAGGGAGCATCAGGGGAGGCTATGGCTGTAGAGCTGGGCAGTGAAGCTGAAGAAATAGGACTTTGGGGTATGCTGGTGGCCTCTCAGATTTGCCAGAGACTAGCATTTTCCTCCTTAATATCAGCTGATAACTTCATAGAAACTTGAGTCTGGGATCTCTAGTGGTCTTGGGCTGGACAACAAGGGGAAGTAGAACCTGGGGAGGAGTAGGGAGGACTCAGCTCTGAGCCTCTGGAAAAACAGGAGTCTTTTCTGGCACTACCAGAATCTGCCACTAGAGGAGGTGCCTCACATCTTGAGATAGCCTGGGTTGGTAACTCCCAAGTTGTAGGGAGGTAGGTGGGGTGGAGGGCAGTCCAAAGTGGGAGTGGGGCCACTCCTGGATCTGACAAGGAATGATATTCACTGGTCTGCAGTGGAGGACAGAGTCTTGATCTGACCAGTCTGAGAGGTGGGAATGGAGTGCTGGTGTCACACTTGGGTCACTAAGAGATTAGAGGAAATACAGGGGATAGGGAGTGTGTGTGTGTTTATGTGTGTGTGAGTGTGTGTGTGTATGTGTGTTTGTGTGAGTGAGAGAGAGAGAGAGAAATGTGTGTGAAGGTGAGAATCAGAGTCTTTGGACCCAGTTTTTCTTACTCATCTCCCTATATCCTATAGAATTTTTTGATGCAGACGGAAGTGAAGTGGATTTAAATTTTGGGGGGCTCCGAGGCCGAGGGGTCAAGAAACAGGATCCCCCCATTGAACGGGACCTCTATTTGTCCTTGGAGGACTTATTCTTTGGCTGCACTAAAAAAATTAAGATCTCCCGAAGAGTGAGTACTTGGTTTGCTCCTTCTGGGAGTCACTATCTGTCCCTCTACACCCCACCCCCGCCCCTGTCACTTTCTTCCTTATTCTAACTACAGAACTCAGGAATGGTTTCTGATGGAATCTTAGATTGAGAGACCTAGGATCTTAGAATTCTAGGATCTGAAATTTGGGACAACTGAGGGGACTAGCCTGTTTCTTTTCCTAGAGCAGAAGTCTCCCCTGCATCCCTTTACTGGGGTAGGACCCCTTCCTCTCAGTTCAGCCCCTCGCTGTGGGAAGTGAGAGGAGTCTCCTGTGAACTGCACTCTCTGGCATTACTTAAACATGCCCCCAGGATTTCATGAGGGGTGTGCCTCATAAGTAAGAGGGAGCCATGTGGGCATAGAGGGTTGGCTGGGACAGTCCCCAAGGTCACTGGTTAAAGAAGACCCTGTGAGTCCCAGAGTTCAGTCCTTGGTTTGACTCTGTCGTATGTGCCAGTTTCTGCCAGGTGCCCTCACCTTTGCCCAGCAGAGGACATGCCTTCCACAGATGGCACCCCTGTGGGCAAGTGCTTGGGGATGGATGGACAACATATGGGGAATGCATTGGGTCAGGGTCAAATCTGCTGACTTTCGTGTCCTTTTTTCCTTTGGGATTAAGAGAACTGCCAGAGGCTAAGGTTTAGGATGTCTGGGATTTGGAGAGAGGAACTGAGTACATTTTCATTGTGCATTTTTTAGTGGCCAGGGATGGAATTGTGAGTTCGATCAACTCATGGCTTCTCTGACCCCAGCTCTAGTACAAGTCATGCCCTGCCACCCTAGAATCACAAGTTTTTAGCTCCAATGGCAATGAATGGGTGTGTGAATGGCTCAGGGCAGGTCCTCCCCACCCTAGGGGTCTGAGCCTGAGTACAAATTCTGCAGAGCATCTTTCATGTGTGCAGAGGGGGCTCATGGGATCTGAGTGCGCCCCCTCCCACCATCTCCCTGCAGGTGCTAAATGAGGATGGGTACTCCTCTACCATCAAGGACAAGATCTTGACGATCGACGTGAAGTGTGGCTGGAGGCAGGGCACACGCATCACCTTTGAGAAGGAAGGGGACCAGGTAAGAGGGAGGGAGGCTGACTAGCATCAGTCGCCAGGCTCAGATGGTGAGAAGAAGAAGGGGAAAGAGAAAATGATTTTGGTCTGGTAGGGAGTCCTGGTTGGATGACCTCTAATGTCCTTTCCCAGGGGCACAGCCTCACAATGCCTTTGTGAGTGGGCAGCTTAGGGGTTATCCCCATTTTACAGAATGGGAAACTGAGGTCCAGAGAGGGAAGGAACTTATCCAGGGCAAGAACACAAGAGCTGAACCCAGTCTTACCCTCAGTACTCTGATTTTCTTCAATGCTTTTCTATATAAAGCCCAAGTATAGGAGCTCCTCAGAACCACTTACAAGTAATAATTTTAAATCAAAGACTTATGTTCATCAAAATATAAAATTAAATGTCCTAGGCATGCTGAGTCCTAAAGTGCTGAGAAGAGGCAGAGCAATGGAATATTCAGAGCCAAGAGAGATTAGCTCCTCTGCCTGCACTTCTTGCTCCTTTCTCACCTATAATACTTCTTCCAAAAAGGACCCTCCAAGTTGGGCACAGTGGCATGTGCCTGTAACTCCAGCTACTTGGGAGGCTGAGGCAGGAAGATCTCTTGAGCCAAGGAGCTTGAGGTCAGCCTGGGCAACATAACAAGATCTCACTTCAAAAAACAAACAAAAGAAAAAATAGCCTTCAGGGCCCACCCCCAATGTTCCCCTTCTGGACAGCCTTCCCTGGTCACCCCACATGAGTCAGTACCTCCTAGGAGCCCTTGCCTCTGGCCTCCCTTTATCCTGACCTCAAAATAGCTGAAGACTCACTGTGTGTTTATCTCAACATCCAACTGGGAGCTCCCTAGGTGGAAAGGGCTGGTTTGATTCCTTAGTCCCCTGTGCCCAGAAGAGACCTCAGCAGCTTTTTGGTGACTTGGTGAAACTTGGATGAGGGGTGTCACTTCTGAGTTACTCACAGAACAAAGATGTGCAGGCATTGCCTGACCCAGCTCAGTGTTCCCACTGCCATCTGAGGAAGTCCCTCTCCCCTCCTGCTGAGTGCATCCATGTTGAGTGTGCTCAACTGAGATATGATTCAGGGAGACTTGTCTGGGTAAGCTTCCAGAGCAGGGTCTCTGTGCACTTCCAAAAATCCTGATCTGATCTCCCCACTGTACAGATAGAAGACATGGAGACAAGTAGAGGCGGGAACTTGGCCAAGTCACACAGGCAATTAGTCCTTGACACCCCTTGACCTCTCCTGCCCAGGGCCCCAACATCATCCCAGCCGACATCATCTTCATCGTGAAGGAGAAGCTCCACTCTCGCTTCCGCAGGGAGAACGACAACCTCCTCTTTGTGTATCCCATCCCTCTGGGCAAGGTGAGTGGACACCAGCCTGGACTCGGCCCCCTCACTCAGTCACTAAGTCCTGGGAGTTCCACACCTGCCCCCACATGGCTCTCCACTTCCTCTCCCTATTGGTCTCCATTGTGCGGTTCTGGGCAGTGCCGGGTCTGTGCACAGGCCTGCCGTCCCCCTGCCTGCTGTCCCCCAGCCTTCCCCCGGGCTCTTTCCACATGCTGCCTCTCCGCTCTCTTGCTTCTCCTGGGCACCCTCTGCCTGAAATGCCGCCTGCCCACTTCATCTACAAAGGCCCTTGTCAACTGCTGCCACCATGCGGAGCCATCCTCCACTCCAGAATGGCAAGGGGCCCCTCCTAGGTGCCCACAGACTCCATTATTTCCATCTCTATCAGATCCTTACATTAGATCACTTCGACTGACCTGCTGGACTGTGCACTCTGGAGGGTAGGTCGTGGCCTGGGGCATCACCTGATAGTTCTCGAACAGCCTTTGTCTCCCTAGTGCTGAGCTCAAGGTTTGGCACCAGATAGGCTCATCAAGTGCCTTCTAAGTAGGATGGCCCCGGTGACCCTCCCCACTCCTATCTTTTGGCCCTGACTCCCCCAGGCCCTCACCTGCTGCACTGTGGAGGTGAAGACTCTAGATGACCGTCTACTCAACATCCCCATCAATGACATTGTCCAGTGAGTCCACCTGCCTTGGGCCCTGATAGGCAAGAGAGGGCTGGCCTGGGACTTAGAGGGTAGAGTCAGAAAGTCCACTCAGTACAGTTGTGCAAGCTGTACCCAGCACAAGGGTCCCTTGCCGAGAGGGTGAGAGAAGACGGAGGACAGCCCACACTCTGGCCAAGCTGTGGACTGCACTCACCTGGCAAAAGGAACGGCTCTTCTAATTTCCATGAAGCCACGGAAAGACTAGAGGCCCCTGTGTTGGGCAATTGCTGTTGTCTTCAGCCCTTCCAAACTTCGCACTAGAGTTCTGAGAAAGGCCTCTGCCTGGGAGTTTTGCTCAGCTGCCTGGCACCCCCCACCCCTTTCCCTGCACTGTCGCCCATGCTTAAAACAAGACTCCTGGGGCCCTCCAGCAGAGACCTAGTGTGAACAGGTCTTCCAGGCAGTGCACCCTTTGGGACAAGCCAGCCTCCTCTCCCACCCAGTCTTGCTGCTGAGAGCCACCCTGAGGTGGAAACTGGGGTGCTGGCCCATTCCTGTGGCTATGTGAGCCTGGGGTGGGGTGGGCCAGTCAGGGGCTGCTCCAGGGTGCCCCCTCAGCTCCCTTCTTTCTTCCCTCAGTCCCAAGTACTTCAAGAAGGTGCCAGAGGAGGGGATGCCTTTGCCCGAGGACCCCACCAAGAAGGGGGACCTCTTCATCTTCTTTGACATCCAGTTCCCCACCCGCCTCACACCTCAAAAGAAGCAGATGCTGCGTCAGGCACTGCTGACCTGACGTGGGGGGCTGGAGTGGTGGAGGAGAGGGCTCCGGGCCTGACCCCGCCAGCCCCACAGTGCAGGGCTGAGGAGAGGGAGGAGGGCTGGGAAGCTAAGCTGACATAATAAAGATTTATTATCCTCCATTTTCACCCTGGAGAGTGTTTGGGAGGAGTTTCCTGCTGGCATTTTTATTTTTACTTCTTCTTCTTCTTCTTCTTTTTTGTAGTGCTGGGGATGGGACCCAGGGCCTCATGCACCCAGCAAGCACTCTACCACTGAGTCACATCCCCAGCCCCCTGCTAGGCCTTCTTGTGGATACCAAGAAGCTGGACACTTGGCTTCATGGGCAGGTCCCTGAGGATTCAGGGCCTTGCTGCTCCACCTTGGTGCAGGGCTGTGTGGCCTCTGAGTTCTCAGCTCTGATGACTTTTCATGACACACAATCTTTAGAAGGGCTATTTTCTGGAATGTGGTATGTCACATTATAGAGACAGGAAAACTGAACCACAACAATGTTTGTCCCAGCTTACTGGGAGTGAAAGAGCTGTCATCAGAACAGTCACTTCCTGCACTCACCAGCACACAGAGAACACAAGCACTGGGATGGATTTGGTTTCTCCCTCCCCAGCCTTAATTCTCTTGCCTGTGAAGTGGGTTCTGGGCTGTCTCTAGGCAGGAAACCTGGCTTCTGGCCCCAGCCCTGCCACTGCCTCCCTGCACCAGTTACTGCCCACGTCTTGTTGACAAAATAGAGCTCATATCCCCCTCGTGGGCTTGAGGATTGGGATCATTGATGTGGAAGTGCTTGGTGAACTCAGGCTTGGATTTCAGGGAGCATTAAGCATTGCTATGGATTGGCCTGGAGGGGCTCTGACCTCCAGGCCCAACTAGACCCATGTGGCCCACACCTGCCCCACCAAAGCCAGCAACGGTGTACCATGCTCATCTACTGTGCTGGGGGTTAGAGTCACCTCTCTGGAGTCTGAGTGTGGGCTATAAAAGGTCCAGGGTCATGGAAAGAAGGTGGCCTCTTCTGTGGGGTGGCTTCAGATGTGCTGGAATAGGTCCCATATCATCTACATAGCTTGGGATCTCCCTATTCAAAATACCATATTAGCTTAAGTTTGTAAAGTGGGAACTCAGAACTTGGCAACCATTATTTTAGTTTAAGAGATAATGCTTGGGCTGGGGATATAGCTCAGTTGGTAAAGTGCTTGCCTTGCATGCACAAGGCCTGGGTTCAATCCCCAGCACCAAAAAAAAAAAAAAAAAAAAAAAGAGAGATGCAGTGGCACAGACCTATAATCCCAACACTGGGGAGGCTGGGGCAGGAGACTCACAAGTTTGAGGCCAGCCTCAGTAACTCTGTGAAACCCTGCCTCAAAAAATAAAAAGGGCTAGGGAATATCTTAGTGGTAGAATGCACCTGGATTCAATCCCTAGTACTGGGGGAGGGGTAGTGAAGACAGGATATCACTATGTTGCCCAAATTCCTGGGCTCAAATAATCCTCCTGACTCAGCCTTCTGAGTAGCTGGTAGCACAGGCATTTGCTACTGTGCTCAGATTCAGCAGCCATTTTTAAACTGCCATGGAGAAGGGAGCAGCAGAAAGATCTTGAGATAAAGACTCCAGGGCCAGGGTTCTAGGAAGCATTTCAGCACAGTAGTCTCAAATATGTGGGGAGTCAAAAACACCTGTTAGAATACAAGGTATGTGACCTTGGGCAAATCACTTCACCTCTGTGGGTGAAGGTTACAACCTGCATCTTGCAGGTCATCTGTGAAAACCAGATGGAGTGAAAGACTGCCCTCTGAGGCAGGACCTAGGTGGATGGGTGTCATAATTGTCTCTCAGTTCTGAGTACAAGACTTGGGTGGGTGAGGGAGGGCAGGGCCTTCTCCAGGACGGCTGCTTCTGATCCTTATGGTGGGCTCTGGACGAAGCCTGGTCTTGGGCCCAGGGATAGACCTCTATGAGATTTCCATTACCACTCTGTGGCCTATGAGTCAGGTAAAGCAGGCTTATCACAGGCCATCTTACAGGCTTTACTGAGGCCTACTGTGTCTTCCAGTGATCCCTGCCACCTCTTCCAGCTGTCATTCCAAGGTCATGCCCGGAACTATATGGAAGTCTGATAGCCTTGTGTTCACCCCAGTGCCTGGGGCACAAGGCTGGTGAGTAAGCAGCTGAGGCAGTTCACCCCCAGCTGGCCTGCTTAGCTCTGTTGACAGACATGCTTAGGGCAGCAAGCTGTCCCTTTCCTCCAGTGCAAAACAATTAACAGCGCACCTCACGGGATAATGTGAGGGCACACAGGGCAGTGGCCAGATCTCTTTATGTCAACTTCTTGCAGCAGAGCAGCCCCCAGGTTGGGGGCCAGGGTTCCAGGAAGCGTTTCCGGACAAGTCCAAGGTACATGGGGAGTGAAACACACTTGTTGGAATCCCAGGTGTGTGACCCTCCTTGGGCAGATCACTTCACCAGGTTCTGCCGGTACCATTCCCCCCAGCAGGCTCACTCTGCTTGCTGCCTAAAGGCACTCAACCCTGTCCCTCCTGCAGACTATGAGACCTCAGCTCAGTTTGTCAGAAGGTAGGAAATAAGATGAGGAATCCTGGGCCCTCCTTCCCTGTCCAGAAACCAGTCTAACATCCTGGACCTCTTGGCCAAGCAGAGGGGCTTAGCCTCTGGCTCTGACCTATAGGCTAATCAGGACAGGAAGTGTCAGTTGCTTTAGGTTGGGGAAAGAAGGGCGGTCTCATTCTCTGGGCCTGGCTCCATACTGCAAGCACACTTCCCTAAGGACCTTCAACACTGGTGCCTGGGGGAAGAGTCTAGCAAGGGGAAAGTCTGAGTCCTAGTCCCAGTTCAGCTGCTGACTGCATGTGTCTGTCAACATAATGTGTCTCAGTCCTCAGACACCTGGGTGACTTAATTCTAAAGGCCCAGACCTGTGCCGGGACCTCATTTCCTCACCCTTTGAAACAGAAGTAGTACTGCCTACCTGCTCTCCTGCCTCTGAGGGTAGAGGTTGAAACCTCTGTGTAGCCAAAGCCCTGACTTGTCAACGTCTCCTTGGTATCCCTAGTCTGGGGAGAGGGTGACACTTTGAGCCCCAAACCCAGGCAAGCATAAGCAGGATGTTTGCTCTGCAACCTGAACCCAACCTGTGCCCAGTTCAGAACAGTTCCTCCTCTGGGTGTGACCGGGGAGGGTGGGAGGTAGCCCCACTTGTTCTATCAAGGACTATGATTTTGGAGAGGTGGGCTTGCCATTTGTTTTGGGTACCATGGATTGAACTCCAGGCACTCCTCCCCAGCCCTATTTTGTATTTTATTTAGAGACAGGGTCTCACTGAGTTCTTAGCACCTTGCTTTTTTCTGAGGCTGGCTTTGAACTCATGATCCTTCTGCTTCAGCCTCCCAAGCCGCTGGGATTACAGGTGTGTGCCACTGTGCCCGGCTGGTTTTGCCGTTTGTAATAAAAAATAAAATAAGCCCACTGCATCTATCATTCTCAACGTCCTCTAAATCTTCCAAAAAGTACAGGAGATGCCGGGAAGACAGAGTACTCTCACCCTGCAGGATAATAGGCCTGGAGCCAGCTGGGGGCTGGGAAGGTAGGCACTGGGTCACCAGGCTCAGCAAGGGATGGGGAGGCAAGGATTAAGCCACTGCTGTCTCTCTGGGCTGCTCTTTGCTTGCCACCTTAGCCCAGGGTTTGGGTCTGGAGAGAAAAATGGGCTAGGGGCCCCCATGGAGGTGGAAAGTGGGTTTCATTCCTTTTTGAAGTCAGGTGGCTCCTCCCCAACCCACCAGGGTCCAGTGGACCAAGACCTCTGGTAAGCGCTATGATAGAGGGAAGAGACACCAAGGTTGAGCTTGCTTTATGGGTGACAGGCTGGCTGGGGGTGAGGACAATGAGTCAGGCTGAACTTCTTAAGGGACTGAAGGCTTGGGATCCTAGCTGGAACCAGGCGTCCTGAGATAAGGTAATGGACGGGGTGGGAACACGGGAGCAGGGAGGGAGGTGGAGGGAAGAGAAGCAGAAGGAAGAGGTGGGGGAGGGAAGGAGGAAAGGGAAGCAGGGCAGCTGGAGGAGAAGCCAAAGCCAGGTGGCCAGGTCAGCAGCAGGGGAGGCTCAGAAGGGAGCCTCCCGGGAAGCACAGGCAGTCGTGAGGGCCCTTTTCAGCTGCTCATAGGTGACAAACATCACCACGTTCCAGGAGCCCAAGCGGAGAAAAGAGGGCATGAACCTAGAGGAGAGAAAACACAGGTCACAGGGGCATCCCTGGCTTTTCCCACTGGGCCCTCGCATCCAATCGGAGCTGGTCGCTCTATTCCAAGGAGGACTCAGTGAACTGAGCCCACAGCTATTACTATGAGCAAGAATCCCACCCTGTGGTTCCCCCAACCCCCAGTGCTGGCCATTAATCCCAGGACCTCATGCATGCTAGCCCAGCCCTCTACCACTGAGTAGCACCCCTTGCCCTGAGTCCTCATTTTAATACCTAGACACTTTGTTATAGGTGGTTCCCTCCCACCTGTGATAGGTACAGGTTGCTAGAAGGCCTGGAATTGGGGAGTGGTGCTGGGAGATCAGAGGCTCACCCTTTGTAGAAGGCTCGGGGCCCCTCCTTCTGGAGCATGGTAAGGGCACAGTGCCCAGCGCTGCTGTACTGGCCCAAGGCAGAGTTCATGTATCTCGTCTTGACCACGTCGACAGGGGAGGCGATGACAGTGGTGCAGAAGCCCGCCCCAAAGGCGGAGGTGAAGTGGCAAGGGAGGTCATCTGCCAAGGAGCAGTGGGCAAGGACTCAGCACACCTCACCCACCATCCCAGAGGCAAGAGAATTAAAACTAAGATGCTCATGGTTGTCAAAAGAGACTCCATTGTGAGAACCTAAAAAGCCCTTTTGTCAATCCTGCCTCAAATCCTCAAGGTGCCAAGTAAGATCTTCATCCCCATTAGCTTCCATAGGGTAAGTACAAAATAAAACTCCCTCTACAGGCAAAGGGCAAACAGAATGAAAAGATGTGGCCTTAGGCCACCAGTCCCCTACCCCCACTCCTGCACCATCTACCCTAACTTACCAGTCATGAGGTTGGCCTTCAGGAGGGCATCCTTGATAAGGTCATAGGTCACTAGCTCAGCACAGTTGACAATGGCATTACGAGCAACGTTGGGAGAGGTCCCTACAACAGGGAGAACCTGCATGAGACCAGGGAAAGGGGAGGAAGATAGGGGAAGGGGAGACATCTGGTACACACCTTTCCACAGTCCCCGGAACCCTTCTTCTCGGGCGATGGTCTTGTAGGCATAGATAGTGCTTTGGTACCTCCGGCCAGCTCCAGCACGGGCCTGAGCTTGGAACCGGACCTTGACCACATCTGTGGGCTGGGCCACAGCGACAGCCAGGGCACCGGTGGTGCTGCCAGCCAAGAGTCGGCTCCCAATGCTGGCATCTGTGGGCGAACCATGGTGTCAGTGGCCGGCTGGGCTTGCCCTCATTTCTCACCTCCTCTCTCCTCACTCAAACCATGTCACATGGTCTGACTTTCAGGAATAAGGTCCAGATTAACGCTTGTTCTACGAACTTCTCACATCAAACACAGTATCATTGTCTCTACTGTTTGCTAGGGTGAGACAAGGAGTAAGAGGGCTTTCTTTTAAAATACACTTCATTTAACCTGCTCAACGGCTGAGAGAAGTCAGAATTATTTCCATTTAACCAAAATCCAAGGCTAAGAGAAGTGGGTTCTTGATAGACTGGGACTCCTAAGACTTGGGTTCTCAGCCCATATCTACTCCCTGCCAGGTGATTCTGAGCTCTGTTTCCTCATGGGTGAAATGGAGGGTTACCAGGGCATATCACAGAGGTGAAGTGCAGGACAGCTGGCCCTGGAGGCAAGAATCTTGCTGTGTTTTCTGGCTCCCCACTGTGTGCCCTTGGCTGAGTCCTGCCCCCCACTTCAAGGCTCAGCCTCTTCATCTGTGACACTGCAACAATTCTACCTATTCCCAGGGTGGGATGAAAACTGTCACGGGAGGGTGTCCTGTTCAGAGCCTGACATAGCCCAAGTCCTCAGAAATCATTAGAATTAGGGTCCCTGCCACTTCTCCATTCCTCTGATCCTCCTAGGGATGATGGGGCCTACAATTGCTCTTCAGCTACATGTACTATGTATCAGCAAGGAAAAAATAAAGGCAAGACCCAGAGGCCTAGGTCCAGCTGCACACTCACGCTCAGAGCCCCTGGTGTAGAATTGCTTAACAGAGTCATAGAGGCCGATGCGGACAGAGGCGAAGCTCATCTGGCGTTGCAGACCGGCCACCAGCCCATTGTAGAGGCTGCGGGGGCCCTCAGTGCGCACCATGGTGAGGATGGTGCCTAGCACACCTCGGTACTGGGTACTGGCTGCAGCACGCACTGACCCCTGACTTTCTCCTTGAATCTGCAAGGTCAAGACAGGTAGCTATAGAAACAGGCTGCCTCCCCATCTCCTGCCATTCCTATGTTCCCAAACACCCCCCTTGCGTGAGGGAGCAGATCGGATACCACTAGAACCCCTAGGCAGCCTCGCTTTATTCCCTCTGCCTTATTCCCTCACCTGCAGCCGGACTTTGGCAGTATCCAAAGGAAAAGTGATGAGATCTGCAATGCAGGCGGCTGTGCCAGCCCCCAGGAACTTCACGGTGGCTGTAGGGGGCACATCTGTGGCCTTGAACCCAACCATGATTCTGATTTCCTGCTATCTCCCAGGAGATGAAGAACTGGAGAAGGGGGCACCTTCAATCAGCAAGACGAGATAAAGGAACTCTGCCGGAATCTAAGCCAAAAGGAGAGAAGCCCCATCAGCAACAGTGCCCCCAGGCCCTCCCTGCTCGCCACCCCTTCCTTTCCCAACAAATCCCCTAAGCAGGACTCAGCAGCCCTAGGAGGGAAAACAGGAGTTAACTTCCAAGTGACTCAAGTGGGGGCTAGAGAAGCAATTCCTGCCTAAGGAGTTCAGATGTTGTGAAGGACTCCCTCCTGCTTCTTTCAGGAAGTCAGGATCCCGGTGATCCCAGTGTTACCTCATGACACTGACCCCACTCTTGGTCTGTTGGAACAGGGGTTGCTCCACAGTTCTGCTCATGGAGCTCTCTGGAGGGCTGGCAGAAGTAGGGAAAGGTTTCTGCCAGACCACGACCTGACAAGCAAAGACCTACAGGCTTATGTTCCAGATTTTTAAGCAGGAGAGGTTCCTGTGGGTCTGAAATTACTGAAGAGAAGAAAAGGAAGGGAGGAGATGACTAATTCAATCCTTCCAGGCTCCCACACAGCTTGGGTTCTCTAATCATCGTTCAACAAGCCTGCTTTGTTGGGCACTGGTTCACTGAGACACAGGGGGCAATATTCACCCTGGAGGGGCCTTATTTTCAGGCACCAGGATGGGCAGGGAATTCTAGCTGCTGTACAAAGAAGGGGACAAATAACTTCTCAGGGAAACAGGTAAGGAAGAGGGGTGATCAGAAAAGACTTTAGACCATGTAAGCTGAGTCTTACAGGATGTTGGGCAATTCCCAGGCCTGAGAGGAAGCAATATAGAGTGCCGGGCTCCTCCTGGCCTACACTTTCCTTCAATAGGTGGATTGCTCCTCTACAAGAGAAGTAGAGAAGGGAGGTGCAAGTCAGAGCTCTGAAAAATGATACAGGAAACCAAAAGCTCCATTTTGTTCTCAGAGTTAGAACACCACCCTCCTCTGCTGCCCCAGGAGGAAGTGAGCCCAGCACCCCAGAGGGGGAGGGTAACCTGCTTCTCCTTCCCTGATTACACAGGAGCAGCTGCTCTGAGCTCAGCTTGATTGGTTGCTCCTGTCGCTGGGCCTCAGGAGGTAAGAGCTGGGTGGCCTGAAGAGGACGTTGTGGGAGTTGCCTGTGACCCAGGGAAAGAGCTCACCCAGCTTCTTCCTCCTGAGTCACCTCAGATGGCTGGGGCAAATGGGGAAATCAAAATGCAACTAATCAAAACAACTGCTTCAAAAACCCCTATTGGGAAAGGGCTTGACCTGATTCACATTGCCATGGAGTCTGATCACATGAGGCTCAGTGAGACTGATGCTCAGATGGCAGAATGGGCTAATAGAGTTCCTTGCCTCCCCAGCTTTCCTGCTGATACCTCATTCCCCCAGAGGGTGCTCCACATTTTATCCCACCTTACTGCCTGGGGCACTCTATTAGCTCACTCAGACCTCCCAGTTGCCCTGTGAGGCACCTGCACTTACTTCTATGTTAGATAGGCAACTTGGGAAGCACATTTCTTGGCTCCAAAGCTTATGCTGTTTTGCATTGCTGCCCAACTTGTCATTTCTTTCTTCCTGTTTTCTCAGCCCCAGGCACAGACAGGACCTTTCACAAGGAAGCTTTTCTCATGCCAATCAAACAGTTCTGAGAAGGATCAGGCAGCTGATGTACCTTCTCTGGGCACAGATATGAGAGTCTTATCACTCGAACTGGATTGCAGGGTGTTGTGAAGGCCAGAGAAGGCTAGCTGCTACCCAGCTCAAAGGCAAGTGGACAGGGGCTCAGCTGCCATTTTGAATGCTGACTTGGGTTTGCCAAAGGTCAGGTCTTTGATGAGAGGGGTGGGTATAGTGGCAAAAGTATTAAAACCCTACTGAGAACAGTTAGTAAAACTCAGGCCTAGAATTAATCATATTTTGTCGTCCCAGGATAAAAAGTAACAGTTTCAGAGCTCAAAAAGTACACTCACTTGACTATTAATCTCAGTCACAGGGATAGTCAAAAGCTAGAGTCAACAATAAGAAGTTTGAACAATAGATTCTTGTCTTCGATTTCCTGCTGACTTCCAGGGTGACTTGAGGCCATTGAATATGCCTCAGGTTCCTCCTTTATAAAATGGGGACCATCATCCTTGGCTTGGCAAGGTTGGCTTAAGGGCTAGAGGAGATCAAGGATGATGAAAGTGCTCAATGAACTGTGAAGAGCCACTTCACTGGGTGGTAACAGTAATTATTTTTGTCAATATGCTGCTGACACAAGAACAGGGCAGAAAGGCAATAGGAGACCACTCCCTTATCCTGGACTCTTACCCGGCTTTGCTTAGGTCTCAGGATGAGGCCTCCAAGATCAAGCTTCTCTAAAGGCGTCCCATTCTTCAAAGTTGCCAGCTGCTATCATGGCCCGATCCCCTTGGTTTTCCATAGAAAATGGCTGGAAGACGAAACACCTAAAGGACATACTATGTGTCCTGTGGGTGAGGGCAAAGGGAGAAAGTTTAAAAGGAGAAATCCATCTTAAAAGACCACACCCCAGCAAGGACCACCTGCCTAAGACACAAAAGCCCACTCGGTCATTGATCTGGGGGAAGAGGGTTGGGGCCCATTCCACCCAGGCAGCCAGGGACTAATTAGATGCACACACAGGCTGGGGTGGGGGATCAACTTAGAAGTCCTTTCTCTCCTGTCTGCTTAGTATCAAACCTTGGCTCTCTTGCAGGCTTGTTTTCCTGATAGTCCCCTAGGCTGGTATCACTCAACAGTCAGCAGACTTGCTGAGTAGGAGTACTGTGAGGGGGGTCATGATAGGACAGTCCCTCTCTTTGGGGTTGGTTAAGGTCCAGATCTGGACTGCCAGGGGCCTGGAGCGGCTGGTAGTGGGCCGGGATAAAGTAGCTCAAAGCCTCCTCCCAGCAGAAATGCCCCAGGAAAGACGCTGCGGGCACAGGCCTGGAGCCCCCAGGGGAGGATCATCCTGGCCATCACAGAGGCCCGGAGGACCCCCACTCAAGGCAGGCTGGACATCGTGGCTGAGGGGAAATAATGAAAGGCTTAAATTACAGCCAACTGGACGCAAGAGGAAAAGGACAAAAGGGAGTTGGGAAAAGGGCAACAGAAGAGGGATAAAGAAAAAGCACAGGAGGACAATAAGAACTACAAACTAGGTTGGGAGGAGAGAAGATAATTAAAGAGCGGGGAGCACAGAGTCCGCAGAGCCGAGTTAGCGGGAATGGGCAGGTGTGGCGGGCGCAGGGCTGGAGCTGCGCTCACCGGGCTGCAGAGAGAACACGAGAGCGTAGGCGACTCTGTCCGCGAGCGGAGGTCACGCGAAAGCAGCACCCACTCAGCTTGATCCCAACGCGCGGTTTAGCGGGGCTTGCAACCGGGTTTGCGCGGGCGGCAGCGCAATTTAAGCCTCGGGGGCGTGGCTTGAGGGCGGGGCGGGGCCAGGCAAGAGCCGCCTGCTCCAACAGTGGGAGCGGGAACTCTCGAGCCGCCGCCTTTCCACTGGAACTGTCCCTCCTGGAGGTTGCCTGGCGCCTTCCTCCACTCCCATTTCCGCGCGGGCCATCACCGTATTTACCCCCTTTTCTTTCTCGGAGGATCGCCCCCTCGCGCCTCCCTACTCCACCTCCCCCTCTCCGGGGGGTCAGCCCGACCGGAAGCAAGAAGAATCTGGTGAGGGGCTACACGTTTCTGGCTGTTGGCCAGGGCACCTTCTACCAGCCGCCCAGAGGCTGCAGGGGGTACACGCACTCCCTTTGTACCCGCCTTCCGCGACCCCAGGCTGTGGAGGGAGGCGCGGGCTCCCTGGGGTGGGGGAGGAGCCAATCCCGCTGCAGCAGCAGGTGGCCCGGCAACCGTCGCCGACAGCTGGGCGCGGCGGGAGTTCCTCTGCTGCTGTGCTAGTCTTGCCCTTGGGGACCCCGGGAATAAAAGGCGGGGCGGGGACACCAAGCGTGACCTCCTGTCTCCAGGCAAGGAGGAGCAAACAAACCGCCGGCGCCACGAAAGGAAGGCAGAGCTGGCTCGAGCCATCTGGGTGCTCAGCCCTGGGCAGGGATCTCAACTGGCTGATGATCTTGTGGGGATGACATACACAAAAACAACCAATAGGTGGGTCCCCTGGCCAGGACAACACATGCATTTGAGGAACAGAAGAAGGAAGACTGTCTCTATCCTTGAACTCCCAGTCCCTACTTCTGTGTAACCTCTGTCCTTCCTCTGCTTTCATTCTTGTCTGCTTCACAGGATTCAAGTATTCAGTCAGGGCACGGACTATGTCTCCTGGATTACATTGTGAGCACTCCAAGAGCAAGAAGCTATTTCCTTTGTTTATGGTATCACTCCCTCCAAAGGCCTCTATGTAGGGGTTAAGTACAGTTTTAACTGCTATGGAAAGTGCTTTGTAGAAAGTTCAGGGGGAGTGAGATAGTAGGGACAAAGGGCAAATGCACTCAGGGGCCTTGGCTCAGAGCCTGATTGCTGTTAGAAGGTCCCACCTTAATTCACAGTTATCAGATACCAAATAAGCCTCATTTTCCATCCTGAAACAACACCAGGCACACCATTAGAGCCAGGATACTTTCACTTAACTCATCCTTAACACAGGGCAAGGATACTTCAGTTAAAGTACCCTCATAGGTTGAAGCCAATTAACATCCAAAACCCCAGTCCACACCTGCAAGCAGCCTGTAAAACTAGCTCCTTCCTTTTATTCCAGCAAGCCAACCTGACACTTTGTTGCCCTCAGAGCCGAGTCTCCCTTCCTAAGTGAAGGCCGGCCGCAGTCTGGCTGGGCACAATCAGGAGCCACTTGTCAAAAGAAACTAACTTTATTTTTAGAACCACACACGCCAAACAAAACAACCTCTCAGGAAAAACCCTCAGAGCCCCAACTGCCACCACCAGCTTTCCACAAGCCTCTCTCTCCAACCTCCCACAATCCTCCTGCTCTTGAGGCCGATTGGCTGGGTCATGTGGGCGGAGCCAAAAAAGTCCCCCAATGAGCAGCTCCCTGGTCTGAAAGGGCAGGGAAACAGCCCAATGAGCATCACCGCAGAGGAGCCAATCAGCTAGATGTTGCTGCTGCTGCTGTGAGCCAATCATCAGCCGGCAGCTGGAAGTTTGCTGGGGCCCCTTCGGCTGTGGCTCTCAACATCGGCCCCACTCAACGTTTTTCGGTATTCTTGAACTCAAGTGACTCTATTTCATTTCTATCATCAAAGTTCTCAGTATCTAGCATCAGGAGGATAGGGTGGAGAGGAACATTTGTTGAGTACAATTACTATGTGTCAGGTGCATTGTGGTTATTTCACATAATCTTTTGAAAACCTGTATTAACTTTTATTTTGAGGAAGAGGAAACAGAGTCCCAAAGAGGTTAAATTGTTACCAGAATCCTAGGACAAAGACCTGGGCTCCAGGGATCCCAGTATATCAGACTCGGTCTCCCAACTCTATATGCCAATCAAAAAGATGAGCAGTGATGAAGGGTAGAAAAGGAGTTCAATCAGCATGGCTGTGCAGGAAAGAACAGATAAAAGGGTTCCGTGACTAAAGATCTGTCTTTAAGAGGCTCACGAGAATTTAAAGGGGAACAAATGCAAAGGCCTCAGTTTGCAAGGCTGGGGGTTTTTCATAGCTGGCAGAGTAGGTCATCTCGTTCAGACCTTGGTCTGGTTGATCGTTGTATCAGGACTGGCTCTGTGGAGCTCCACAGTTCTAGGAAGGTCATGGTCCCTTTAAAGGGCGACTCAGTTCCCTTCATGAAATGACTACTCTTGCTTAGTACGGAAGCCTCAGTTCATTAGGGGCAATTACACCCACTTTGGGGGGCAGTCTTGTGGATGATCTGTCCCTATATTTGGGTCCCTTGTCATAACTATGCTTATCAATCAGGCCTATTATTCCCAGAATCCAAGGTAACGCTGGAAGAGAGTGATATATATATATATATATATATATATATATATATATATATATATATATATATATGTATGTATGTCACTATTCTGGAGGTTGAGGTAGGAGGTTCAAAAATTTAAGACCAGTCTATTCTAAGTTAGCAAGGCACTGTCTCAAAATAAACATTTTCACTGAAATTGTAGCTCAGTAATAGAGTGCCCCTGGGTTCAGTCCTCAGTATTGCAAGAAAAATAGAAGAAAAAAGAGACAATGGAGTCAGAGAGGGACAAAGTGGAATTGGCCAGGTCCGTGACTGGGTCCTCCTTCAAAATGACTTGCCTAAATGTCACACATTCCTGATCCCTGATTTAAATCCTGATCAATCCGGCACCAGGCATTTGTTTTGTGTGTTGTCCACAAGCAGAAGGAGTTGTCAGATAACAGCTGGGGAGATCAGAGCTGGATTGGGACTAGATACTTGTAGCAGGAAAGAAAAATACATTGAGCACATGGTTTTGGCAGAAGCAGAGGGGATACTCAGAAGTTAAGGCAGAAAATCTTTCCCGGGGCTGGGGATGTGGCTCAAGCAGTAGAGCGCTCGCCTGACATGAGTGCGGCCTGGGTTCGATCTTCAACTCCACAAACCAACAAAGATGTGTCCGCCGAAAACTAAAAAATACATATTAAAAAAAAATTCTCTCTCTCTAAATTTCTCTCTCTCTGTCTCTAAAAAAGAAAAGAAAAAATCTTTTTCGGCACTATGGAGACTCCCTTCTACTCACTGATCTAGGTTTTACACAGGAGCTTCTTCCACTGGCTGTGATGAACTGATTCCCAGAATCTTGGTGAATTCATAGTAAAATTGCTAAACTCGTAAGTGATCTCTGATGAAATATCAAAAAACAAGATGGAGCCAAAGGCCTGTGAATGAAAATTTCCTCCTGTGACATGGACTTAGACTCTTCAGTTTTGCTGGCATCTCTCCTTCCTTTGCTCTGAGTCACTGTGGTGATCCATAAACATCTTGTGATGAGTTGAAGCCACCTTTCAGACAACAGCAACTTTCTTACAGCCAACAAGACCCCATCTAAACAACCTTGGGATAATGATGGACCAGACCACCCCAGATCAAGGTCACCTGCTTTGGCAGCTGTGCAAAGCCTCCAACTCTGCAAACACCCATCCTTGCCCTCATTCTCCCTTCTATATAACCTCGAAGTCATTATCAGACCTTTGAAGACAGGGCTAAGGATGAGTGTTCCCCTGGTCTTCCCAATATAGCTACACTAATTAAAGTTCCTTTCATGCTTTTCACCATTATCTTTTCTGTATGGTTTTCTGGATAAGTGACTGGAACTGGAATGTTGGCTTTCCAGAGTCATACCTCTGGCCTAGGACTCCAGTAACAATGATGGTTGTAAAACAAAAATCTGAGGGCTGGGGATGTGGCTCAAGCGGTAGTGCGCTCGCCTGGCATGCGTGTGGCCTGCGTTCGATCCTCAGCACCACATACAAACAAAGATGTTGTGTCCGCCGATAATTAAAAAATATTAAAAAATTCTCACTCTCTCTTTAAAAAAAAAAAATCTGAATTCCAAAGACTTCATATTATTCCTGAGATGTTTGTTTACTTTTGGCAAAATTCAAGAGACAAAGGATGATCGCAGACACTTGGAAAGGGGAGAACACCAGGCTACAACATGGATTCCTTAAGAAGGAATTTCGTTAAAAGAATTTTCCCCCCAGTGGAATCAGGCAGATCAAAGCACTGCTATAGACCCTGTATTCCTGGATTTTTTTTTTTTAATTTTAATTTTTTTGGTACTGGGGATTGAACCCAAGGGAGCTTAACCACTGAGCCACAACCCCATCTTTTTTATATTTTATTTAGAGAGAGGGTCTTGCTAAGTTGTTTAGGGTCTCACTAAATTGCTGAGTGCTGGCCTTGAACTTGCAATCCTCCTGCCTCAGCCTTCTGAGCCACTGGGATTATAGGCATGCACTACAGTGCCTGGCTATTTCTGGATTTTTAGCAAGCAACTCGCCCAAGTCATATGATACCCTGTAGAGGACGGGGTTATGGCTCAGTGGTAGAGTGCTTGCCTATCACATGTGAGGCACTGGGTTGGAACTTAAAAGAAATAAAATGAAGTTAAAAAAAAAAAAAAAGATACCCTGTACAAAACCTGGAGACTTTATGGATACAGATAAGTGTTTTTTGAAAACTTGTTTCATATCTATTTCATTGAATTTTATATATTACAGGCTTTTTTGTGAACATATCACACATGCAAATAATCAAGTTAACAATGTTTCATACATTTTGTTATATAATTTTAACACCATATTGAAACTGGAGTTTGACTTGGTGCTTATTCAATACTATAAAATAATCCTCTGAGCTGGGAGATTGGGAACTTCAAAATCTTTATATACAAACTAGTTTGAAACACTGAAAATGAAAAAAGCCACAAATGGCAGAGGAAAAAAAACAAAACAG